GATGACGATAAAATTAATTGTGGGCACCCATATTACTTGTTATCTGAACAGCAACAAAATGGCCCACCTTGTTCGAAATTACTAAAATAATCCTTCTGATGTGAGGCTTACTTTTCCTAGGCTAAAGGAACTGCGCAGTACACCTCATGAAGTGCCGGTTTGAAATATAGTTGAGGCTCATGTTATAATAGGCAAAGTCACGGTCATCTAAAACATACAGAACAGTACAATATGATATATATAACATATTATAACTATAAGGATAGTATATTTTAAATGGGCAGGTGTTTAATGAAGCTCTGTAAAGTTTAAAAGTTTTAAATTGGTTTGTAGACAACGAATTGAAATGATTGATATGAAATTTTATAATTTTCCTTGCTTCGAGATACGCATGACCACTGACCAGTGACAATGAAGAAATTTGACTTGACGGTTTGAATAATGACGGTTTGCGAGGATTTAACTAGATAACACCTGCAGCCAGATAACAACTAGATAACACCTGCAGCAACCAATGGTCATAAAAACGTACACAGATGGTCAGAAATATATTACTAACCCCACTCATCTATATCCACGCATGAATAAGTCATGGACTAAAACATCACTGTCTATCAAAACAACGCAGTAAGGACTCAGGAGTCAAGGTACACTATATAATATACAGCGGAAAAGAGAAAAGAGAAGCGAGAGGAGAGAGGCGAGAGGAGAGAGAGACTAATAAACACAGCAAGTCTAAATGAAATTCACAGAAACTAGACCAAGCTGTCTCCTGCAATAATTCCGCCTAATCAACATAACTCAGTTCTCTCACTGTGATTTTATAATAACAAGATCTCGTTATCTCCTGCAATCCTGCCTCCCTAATGAGACCCTGTTGACTTTGAAGTGGGAGTACCAGTAGTTTATAAGGTCGGTAGTTCACAATCTTACTGTCCTATAAAGAGGTACATTAACATCTGTTAACGGTCGTTCACAAAGGTCCACTACGCAACAATAAAGGGTAATTCCAGGAAATCTTCCATTTCTCACACTGTAAGATGTACGAACTAGGTGATTTACTGAATGATGGCAGGGTGGTAACCTCATTTAAATACGAATATACTTCGTAAAGATTGAGCAACCGTAGGAGGACAAAAGCATGATAATTATTATTCACGTTCGGTTATGACTATTCACTTAGAACGATTATCGGTCAGCTCTTGAATATTATACGACTTATCGATACTTAAACTAAGATCTTACCAATTATAAAGTCAATTTGAGGCACTTAAATTCTAAAACAAATATCAAAGATAGAAAGTATAAACGTCATGTGGCCAATGGCCATGTGCTTCCTGTCAGTAAAGCAACTTAGCCGTTCTATTAGCGTATTAGTATTACACATTACACACTGTAGCTGGAATCATTTCCTTCTAACGCTGCTACTAAAATGGTCGGCCAGATTCTTAAAGTTACTGTTAATGTTTTACCAATAGAGAGTGCAGCCGAATTTAATGATTCATGGTAAATAAAAGCATTGCAGGCACTAGAAAAATTATTTGGGGCAACGGGATAATGAAATCTATGATTTAAGCTAATCAGACGCGCTCGAGCTTTTCTCTGTAAGTCACTAGAAATTAAAATGAACACTACAGTATAAAATAAATTAAGCGTGTCGAGATACAGTGAGTCTGTTTTAAACAAAACTAACCAGAAGACGAAATGACACGGACCCAGGTTTAATTGCTGAACAATTAATTAATTTGGGGGTTGGCTGGGCTGATGTCAACTTTGAAACAGTCCTAACTTTCTGGTAAAAACTCAGAAGTACCGTCACGGGCTGCGGAATGTCAGAGAGAGTCTCAAGTTGTCCAGGTCTATCCTAAATTGGCACCTAACAGCAAAACGTAACCGTCAAATCTAAAATAGGACCAGATTACATTGGGCGTATATTCCAATTTCCTACAGACTGGGAAGGTCAAGTCTATATTTATAGTCCGGCTTGGTGTTCCGGTTAACAAATAGACATGAAACAGGTTGCTAGCGTCAAACCTCCTAATGGCAAGGGGGAAGTTATTCTTATCCATCTGGTGCTCTTCAGGACAGATGACGTGTTGGGTTTACTGGTGATGAAGAGTGTGATATTGTAAAGTGAGTGATTAGAGGTGAGCCCGGTGATTAGTTAGGAAGCTAGGGTGATTAGAGGCCCAATACCAGGTGTCGGGTGATTTGATGCGTTATGTCATAATATGAGGGGGAATATTGTGCAAAACAAGTTATTACCTAGGAGTCCTATGTATGACTTTTGAGTGATAAGAAATGGTTCCCGTTCAAGTCCATGTCAGATTGTGTAGCTAAAACGTTATCTTATCTCTGAGACTACCAGACTATTAGCTGACAATATACCGGAAGTAAAGCTGGTGATATACAGACTCTACAGGTAGTTGTTATACAGTCTGGATTATTGGGTATTGTGTATTAGGTACATTAGGACATTACCTGGTGTTATGGTTGCTGACGGTTATTGACAATACTCATTGGGGTATAATTGTGCAACCTGCCTCCGGTATGTGGAAATAAATACTTAACTAATTAACTAATAACCATTCGATCAGTTAATAAGTTAATGGCAAATAGAGGGAGCGGGGTTTACAGATCTTGTAACTTTTAACACCTGCATTTTATTAACTAAGTTATGTATGGGACCGTTATTTAATTGCATGGTATACATTATATATTTAAATTTCATTACATTAGTAACATGTCAGCTTGTCAGGTTGTATTATAGTAATATGTCAGTGAGTTCCATGTGGGTATGCAGGCTGGTCAAGTGGTCAAAGACCTGTATTTATTATACCATTGACCTTTTAGTAGTGTAATTTGATTGAAATATTAAAGTTCCAGATGGTTTGATTTATATGGAATGCAGTAGATTAAGGATTTCCAGGAATCTAATCCCAGGTTAATAGAATGTAATAATCTACATCGTGTTCGTACTTCGTACATGGAAGGATGACTTGCTTCTGAATGATATCCAAAATTAGTTATTTAACTGGGATTTTCTAAAAACAGAGAACTTAAAACCCCACGGACAACAAAGGAACATCAGATAACTGTAGTACGACAAGCAAAAACAAATCCTGAAAACTTAAGTCATAAGCGTATAATGTTCTAAAATCCTGTTAACAAGTTACTATGTTGTGAAATGCATGCTACACATCACGTTTAAAAAGCACTCTATACTGAACCTCCTGAAGTTAGCCTCGTAGGTAAGGTGGCTAATGATAGGGCCCGTGTGTCAACTCTCCTGTACTCTCTGACGTTTTACAACGATTAGGGGATAAACTCTCTGTGGTGTGACAAACATTTGTTTTTTTACAAAGTTTTCCTTTTTTAAGAACCGATATGTATTTCGTTTAAAAAACCGATATGTTTTACAGTTTTAAACGAAATACACACGCACTAAGCAGCAACAAACTTTAACATCACACACTATTCGGTTAACAGATAAGTCAATAAAGTTATCATTTAACATATTTACAAAGGTAGCGTATAAATAAGTCCAGGTAGAAGCCGGTAGAAGGAATGTAAAGGTAAGATCTCGGAATTGTTTCTGAAGGAGACACAAACTGAAACATCTCTCGAAACAAACCATAATGCCTGATGTCGGCTCCCTTTTCCTTGCACTCAATCCAACTTAAGCTTTTGTCAAACACGACTAAAGTTTACCAAATTGAGGTTACCTCAGTTTAACAAAACTAAACGCGAGCTAATTAAAAAGGAAGTTTTTACTTTGTAGCAATGCCTACTGTTGACAACACGTTGTTTAAAAGTGCTTTCTATGGAAATTAGTTTTAATTGAGACTTAACAACTTACGAATTACCCTCCTTATTAGTTTATTGGTCAGTGGTTACAATTATAAAGACAGTGTTTGATCTCATTGGCTGGTTTTTTGGGGTACCTAATAATTTGCTAGATCGATAGTAAACCGGTTTATTAGTGAGGAAATTAAAGAAATCTGAACAAACTGTCTCTAATACTGAAGAAAACATTGCGCTAAATTCGTAAAACAAGCTTCATTTAAACTCTCGCGTGAGTTTAACTCTCACGTGACTTTTACAGAAGACATTAAAATCGCTCCAAGAAATTGTTTTTAAATATTGTATTTGATAATTAATTAATGTTGGTGGGGAAATATTTATTATATATTTTTTCACACAGTGCGATGATAGTTTGTAGACATGTGTGATGATGTGATGTCATAAATTTTACTTTACTTTACTTTACTTTAAGAATGCTAGCATTGTATTTTCACATCCGGTCGAAAATAATCGCACAATTGAACTCGATTTTCCTGCTCTTTGTCAGCGAATTGAGCTTATTTAATTTTATCTATTGTACACTTAAATTCCGAATACTATCTGTCTAGAGATTAGATTTAAATTATTGTATAACATTAATTGGATCAAAGGCCGTTTGAACTAAAACAGACAAACTTAATTTCCTTTTTGTTAAACTTTGACCGCAAAAAACGAGAACAATGTTCAAAATTTTAAATGCATGACTCAGAACTCTGTCCAAGTCCTCAGTCACAACTTTTAAATATCTTAGTGTTAATAAAGAACAATTAAACTGTCTAAAAGCCGTCTATTTAATCGTGAACTAAGTATTTTCGCTGAGTTATCCGTAGTAAATCTTCCTCAGTGAAAATCCGCGGGTTTTGGAACTAACTACATTTAAAGCTAAATCTGTCTTTTGGATTAGACAATAGACATCAAGGTTAAATAATAACTGTTCTTATTTTACAGTAACATCGAAGGGGCTCCCCAAGCGTAGGAGCGGATGTGTGGTAGCCCCTAAAAAGGAGAGTGGCTGACTGGGAAATGCTCATCCTATAATAGTACTACTAACTACATCACAGCTCCTTCAGGATAATTCAATAAAAATGTAATTTTCTTGTCGCTCACAGTCACACTTTCGTTCAGAAAGTTAAATAACGCAAAAGAATAAAACTCACGTTACTGGTGAAATGAGTGTAGAGAATATCGTTATCTTCTAATCCGCTCAACTTCTTTAAAGCTATGTGGTTGCTGTGACAAATGTCCTCGGATCCAGCGGACGTTGAACTTCTCCCAAACAAACTGAAATTAAATGTGCATATTATTGGAGGAAATCGTTTCACTAGGCTGAGCTAAAACATAAACCAGACTGGTGATACCAATGATTTGATTGGATAAACCAACTCAGGTATTTAGTCCCTAAAGCCCTGAACTATAAAGATATACTATCTCGGACAACACAGTGAATTTATACTTTCTTACTTATTATGGGAAAGAGGATACACATTCTCAAATCTCAGTCTCACCTGCATTCTTGACAAAGGTTAAAACACCCAGTTATCGGGTGTATGTACATGAAGAGGGGCCAGCCGTACGCTCCTAGTGCGTAGGAGGAGAAATATGTCAGGTCTTGGAATGTCTCTCTGGATTCCTGGAAAGATGTTGGGGTCGTGAATTATAGGATTTGTGGCTATAAATTAATGTGCAATCAGTTAATTAGTACTCAAGAGTTCAAGAGTTCAAGTTGTAATTATGCACTCTTAGCAGTTGACAATCTTACATATTATAGGTAGTTGATTTTTTAACAACTGAGATAATAAGAGCAGTACCCGATTTTCGAAGTCGTATCGCTCACATTCAATCTCAAATGACATCTGAAATGTAGGAATTTAAATTAAATACTAACATTTCATTAAATAAGTTGAAGAAATACCGACGGCACTTAAACTGGATATTCCGTCGGGCGGAGCAGAATTAGATTAGATTATGATATATTCCTCTTTGGCCAGCAGACAGTTCTACTGTAATTTATGCTATTTCTTAAATCAGGTCTGGATAACTTGGGAAGGATTGAGTGTGGATTCTTGAAACTGGTTGATTTGAGTTGCAATCAAAATTATAACTTTAAGCGGAGAATTGATATTTTCACATATCATATATTTATCCCCTTATCTACTCTTTAAATAAATATGACCAACAAAAACTAAAACATATGTTATGTCTCAACATGCTGTAATCCAATCATAAAAGGTAAGGTTGAGAAAGACGGAGTGTAAGCATGGTAAGACTAGCTTTATTTGAAGATTAGTACAGCCAGTTCCATCACATTACCACCTGATCAGAGACAAAATATCAGATAGATTATATTTTGATACCACAGATTCAGTAACCGGAACCATTGATCAAATTGCCCTCTTCAACCGAAAATGGGCCATTTCATTTTAATCTGGTGTAAAATAGTGACTTTTAGAAAATAACGATCAGAGTTTCGCTAGGAGGTTGGAAGATGTGATCCAAGTTGACACCATTCGATCCAATTCAGATTTCAGACATGATCCGATACGGCGATTCTCTGAGATATGAAATTATGGTAAATAGAGGACAGAGGTGTCAAGCAGGATCAGTTAGGTCCCGTATCATGTGCTCAGATCACTAGATCAGATCACCAAGCTAAGCTACAGAGGATAACAAGCACTGACCATCATAGGTAGCAGTATTTAAACCTACCACAATCTCACCTAGATTATCAAGTTATCTCCTCTGTATAACATTAATACAACAACTACATCTACAAAATTAACTACATTCCTTAATACCTTTACCCCATTCTTCCCATCTGAGTTCCTCTCCACAGTCCCGACGAAACAGTCCTTTTTCAGTGTGGAACCCTCTTCTCTCCCAATTACACAAGAACCTCTCTCTACCCAACCTCTTCCTAATATTTCCACTACTCAACCTTCTCCAGTCAACCCATTCAGACAATACGCCACCAAACTTGGTTACCCTGACAACCTGATAACCAGAGTACTCAACGATTTGGGACAAGATGCTGAAACCGAGGAGCTCCTCTCTCACCTGATCAGTCTACAGGACATGCTATGTCCTAAAGATTCTACTGTTCGGAGACGAAGAGACGCTACTGACCTCCCTTCTTACATGCTGGCACAAGATTCTTTCTACAAAGGGAAAGAGAGGATGCCTTTCTGGGTATGGGTCAAACGTGAAACTATCGGTGTTAACATGGCTGCCAATCCTCCCCACAGACGTGCTGGGAACAGAAGCAGAACCAGCTCCTCTTCTGCTGCTAACGCCTCTTCCAACCCTACTACATTGAATCAACAAACTCTATAATTTAGTTATCAGATTTGTTTATCGCAACTGTATCAGTTATATAATCTTATGTGACATCTATAATTTCAATTAATTCTGTAACATTTTAACTTTTCTATCTCTCAAACACTGCATTCATTCTTTTTTTCCCATTCTATTATTGAACGATCCAAATTAAAATATAATTTGGTGAATTACAGTAACGTAATTCAAACGCTTTGAAAAACTATATATTTCAAAGCTTTGTGTTTTGATCATAATATAATGATCGTGTATAGTGATTTTGATTACATAATTTTGATTGGGTTTTTTTGGTTGGAAAATGAACAGGGTGCCAGCCAGTATCTGTCGAATGTTACTGGCAGAGAACAGCAGAGAGGGCGGCACAAACGGCCACGGAAAAGACACAGAAACTAAACCGTGCGCGGTAAGATAGCCAGTGTCTGAGAGCTAGTGTTACCCAGCAGGAAGCCTCCAAAAGAGGTACCGTGGTGAACTGTGGATGCAAAGTTCGAATGTAAGGCAGCTCTAACTGAAGATGAAGAGGTAGATTGAACGGGGAGTAAAGAAAAAGGGATAGGAAGGATCCATCTGAGGTCTGGCTCATGTCAGGAAGTGATGAAAAACTCACAGACAAAATCATCCATGGCTGTCTACCCCGTACGTAGGCAGTGTCCGAGATTTCAGGCATCAGGATACACTGAAACAGTGCAGAGCTGATTACGACGGATACCCCGCCTCGGAGGTAGAGCCAATGCCCTGCTTTCGATACTTATTTCACTGATGGAACCTTCATATTTTCTCTATTAGCAGTCACTGTAACCCTATCACTCGGAAGGCAACACAGCTCCTACATAGACGCACGGTCGGGAGCCCACGCAGGGATAAAAGTGACCGCAAGCCTTCCATCACATCCATCACGATCGAGCCGTAAAGAAATATAAATAATGGCATCACATTTACGTGCTCAATGATCATGCTATAACTCGTTATAACTGATTGTGATAGTATTTTTCCATGCGGTAAATCTATATTAGGGAATACATAGGACAACTGTACATGTTTCAGAGTCCTCACCTTTTTGACCAGTGTGTTGAAATATACCAACTGTTGAATTATAACATGATTATCACGTTTCGAAGGCAGTAAGCTGCACCGTAGATTTAATGATATTATAACATTTTTAATGACGTTATGATTAACAGCTGTTAATTATTAAACTGTTATTCAACAATAATATACCAATTTCAAAACTCCCAAATTATGTAGGAGACTAAAGTTAAACTGCGCACCTGATTGACATCTAAACGTTTCTGAGCAGCGAGATGTTGTTGCTGGGAGACCATCATAAGACCCACAGCTATATCAGAGGCTACAAGATCAACATCAGCAAACTGAGAGGAGAAGATACGAGCCAGGTCTTCAAATGCTCCGTGGCTGTTCTCCTTACGTCCTATACAACAACACCAACACTTGAACCTAGGTCGGGAAACTGAGTTAACAACACCAACACTTGAACCTAGGTCGGGAAACTGAGTTAACAACACCAACACTTGAACCTATGTCGGGAAACTGAGTTAACAACACCAACACTTGAACCTAGGTCGGGAAACTGAGTTAACAACACCAACACTTGAACCTAGGTCGGGAAACTGAGTTAACAACACCAACACTTGAACCTAGGTCGGGAAACTGAGTTAACAACACCAACACTTGAACCTAGGTCGGGAAACTGAGTTAACAACACCAACACTTGAACCTAGGTCGGGAAACTGAGTTAACAACACCAACACTTGAACCTAGGTCGGGAAACTGAGTTAACAACACCAACACTTGAACCTAGGTCGGGAAACTGAGTTAACAACACCAACACTTGAACCTAGGTCGGGAAACTGAGTTAACAACACCAACACTTGAACCTAGGTCGGGAAACTGAGTTAACAACACCAACACTTGAACCAAGGTCGGGAAACTGAGTTAACAACACCAACACTTGAACCTAGGTCGGGAAACTGAGTTAACAACACCAACACTTGAACCTAGGTCGGGAAACTGAGTTAACAACACCAACACTTGAACCTAGGTCGGGAAACTGAGTTAACAACACCAACACTTGAACCTAGGTCGGGAAACTGAGTTAACAACACCAACACTTGAACCTAGGTCGGGAAACTGAGTTAACAACACCAACACTTGAACCTATGTCGGGAAACTGAGTTAACAACACCAACACTTGAACCTAGGTCGGGAAACTGAGTTAACAACACCAACACTTGAACCTAGGTCAGGAAACTGAGTTAACAACACCAACACTTGAACCTAGGTCGGGAAACTGAGTTAACAACACCAACACTTGAACCTAGGTCGGGAAACTGAGTTTAGTTCCAGGTTCTGTTGGCAAACAATTCAAATATAAGCTCAATAATAATGTCGTAAAATTGAAGGTGACATTAGCGTTCAAAACAAAGCAAAAACCTAACCTTTTCTCCCAGAGTTTATCATTCATACTCTTATCACTGTGATACCCCCCAAAGGGGTCAAACACAGCGATCACTCCGATGAGAGTAAGAGATATTAGCACCCAGTTACTGATAACAACAAGTCTCACTGATATAATCATGTCTTTATCACACCCGGTCTCTACGAGACACCAATACGTTCCAAACATGCACAAACCTGAATTAGGAGAGTTCATACTTTGCAGAATGAAGAGAATTGAATATTATTTCCACGATTTAGCATGTAGTGAAAGGATGCGAATCTAGCTAATTGTTTTGAAAATGAAACTCAAGTTTGGATGATAATTTTATTCTTATTTAGGGTGTTTAACATAAGACCTTAACTTAAGGGGGCATACACCAAAAATGTCCAGCCCAAATGACCTCATAGGAAGTTCAGTGACCATCTAGATTCTAGCGCACCGTTAATCACTTCTTTGAAAGTTTAAATAAACGCTGCGGCTGTATAATACCAGTCTGTTACGTCACAAGTTATGTGTTCTGTGAATATGTTCATCTCATAACAAACCTATCTCAAGAAGGAAGAGGAATAATCTGAAATGTAAGATAGCAGGAATAGTGCTCCTCTTTTCTACCTGCATTATTCCTCCTCTCATACTAATTATCATCACCAGCATCTGCCAAATTGTTCAGTTAGTCTCATCTGACAAGTTGCAAATTTCGAGATTATTCGGGGGGATGACAATTATAATTAACGTTAAAATCTGCGATAACAGCTGAATAGTGAATGTGCTTATAAGGAGCAATGAGCGGCTACACAAGACGTGCTCACCTCGACGATGAGAACTAAAGATATAAGAGCTGTAGCAGTAGCAAGGTAGGTGAGAACGAGAGTAGGGTGGACACAGTCTTCGTTGGAGGTAGAGTTTAGGTAGTTGGAGAAACGGGTCGCTAATATAACCACCCTGAAAGGTTGGGGTTGGTGTAGATCGCGTCAAATGTATTGCCTTCGATTACTGATTTTAGAGTTTATCAAAATTATTGACTTTACAATCTCATTTACTGAACTAAGTACTACTAACCAAAATATTCTCATAAGAACACAGAAGAAAGTGGGGAAGACGAGATCATCACTGCCAATGTACCATCGTCTACCCAAAACCTCAAGAGCGGGCATTTCACTCTGTTATAGCTTTAGGAGCAGTCTGATCACGTGACAGGAAAACTTATCACGTGATAAGGGGGTGTAAGATGTGTGGTTTCGATCACGTGACGTCAGCTTACCTCAGGTAGTGGGGATCCCACCAGACTGGGAGGGCATCCTAACTGTGAGTGGTATCGTTACTCTGGTTGTGAAGTGTTTTAACTCAACAGATTGGATCATGATTATATTGGAAAAAATGTTCATCATGTCATTAAGAACTGACGAAAAACTGTTGTTCAGGAAATTACACGACTGTTTTCAAAACAAATTATCGAAACCAATAAATATGGGAAGAAAATAAAAACAGAGTAAGTTAGCAAAGAAGTCATTAATCAGGTTAGCCAGTGCTCTGGATCTACAGTATAATATTACTGGTAAACCCTAAAACTGCAAAATTTGTAACAGTGGCGACATGATTACTGAGTAGACATTTTCTAATTAAGAATGTCAGTTATCCGTGATCTAGAACGTTCCCTGCTCGCCTTCCTCACGACTTAACTCGACCCAAATCAGGATTAAGAGATATTATTGAGAGAGATTGTACTAAAAGTTAGCTGTGTCAGCTCTGCTGCTGTTTCTTAGCCCACTCAGCAGGGGTGTGGGTTTTCTGAGAAAAGGCGTGGATGTTGGGCAGCTCATCTTTCAACACTGCGTGAACAGCTTTGTGTCGCTTCAGCATGTTCTTGCCTGAAAACTCCTCTGATATAATTATAACTGAAATCTTAGCTCCACAACCATCACTCTCATCTACCACTTCCTGCAAGGAGAAACCGAGTGAGGAACTACATGAACCTACATAGCGTAAAATACCTACTTGATCCACATTTCCCAATTGACTGTTAGAAGCATGTCAATATACTTTGACAGCAAAGTCTCATTTATATTTAACAAGGTAAAAGTGAGGGGAACAAATTGTTCAAACTCACCAAGTGCGTGGGAGAGAATGATTCTTTCAGTTTAGCTGATATGACTTCCGTGACTGCCATTAAAGCTGAATAAAAGAAATAAAGAGGCCTTGCAAATAATTCTAATTAATACATATTATTATGTATCATTTGTCATTTCATTTTAACAACCACATTGGTAGTTGGGACAAAGTGTGGGCTATTGTATAGTGTTAGTCATATAGTAAAACAAATCAATGGTATGTATTGAAGAAGTACCCAATAACAAATACTACCCCATATCTAAATAACTGTAATGTATTGAAACTTGTAACAACATATTATCTCGATATATTCAGTGTAGATCAAATCCGCTCTTTGCTAAATGTTCTCTAACAGTCCCATGTGCAAGTTGTTTAACAAATTGTTCCGACAAAGCCTCGAATGGGTGTGAGTAGGTGATGCTGAAGCAGTGAGAATACTTTTGTAATGTTGGGTTGAACCACGGCTCCGGCTCTCTTTTACCTACCTGGACATATTGATTTGAGTATAATTCAATTTTAACTTAAACAATTTAGTTTATTTTTGGGATGTAAAATAATACGGTCTTATGGCGTAAGAAACATGTTATGTGTCCGATTCATTCCATGTGAGAAACTAAAAAGTACCTGGTGAAGAGCCAGACCGATACACTCTAATAAGACAGGTATTATATTGGGAGTGGTAGCCGAGTCAGTCCACATACTAACATCATGTCTTATACAGGATGGATACAAAACTTTCTGAAATAAGTGAATACTAAATTAATATACTTAATGCTCTAATAGGAATATACATATTCTAATGTTGACTTCGAAGCCAAAAAAGTTATAATATGTCCTTATTTGAAGACTGGGAAATCAGTATGAGTTAGATTTATAATTTGTGAAAATTATTAATAAAGCTATATTGTAAATTCAAAAAATTACACTTACGGTTTTATTGATAGGGTAAAATAACATTTTCTTGCTTTCTAAGTTAGTAACTTTAAGAATGTGATGATCGATTGTTTCAGTTTCTTCAAGCTTGGCACGTTTTGAAGGTCTTTCATTTTCATCCAAAACGATAGAAAATAACTCATCAAAATGCCCGATAGTGGTATTACACCGATATGTAAATGATTGTCCAATATAATTTGACTCTTTTAAGTATTGCTCAATGTAGGACCCAGGTTGTAAAGATTGGAGAGTTTCTGTCAATGAATTCGTTCTGAAAATAATTTAGCAAACAGTGTTATACAATCAGTCAAAATGGTCCTTAAAATATTTTTTTCCGTCGTATTATTACAGCCAAATATCCAGCAGGGTATATTCAGGGTACCAGCTCATATTTTCACTTATTTTTTCAGGAAAGTACAGTGTACAAGATACACTTCCGAGGAATAGAGCGGCTAGAGTACATTTCACAAAATAGTGCTTTCTGAAGAATTTATGTACAAATAGGTTTCACATTCTATTACTAGAATGTAAATAGGTAGGGCCAATGTACAGTATATGAAAATAAGTTTGAATTATTCAAGATTTAATATTAATATAAATTATAAAATTAGGTTATTCACCTAAACGGCTGATGTTTAAACATGTGTCGAAATCCACTGTCACAAAAGAATGATTTTGATCTACCACGATAACCAGTCAAATTGTACAGTTCAGTCCCAAACTTTTCAACACTGCAAAATATTCAACCATTAAAAGTAAATAAATCACTAGTACTGCCAACTAAGGACCATACAATCTGTAAATTATGAACAAAAGCTCAGAACAAAAATTATTCCTTCTAAGGTGATGAGCTATATAATTATAAAATTTAAAGTAACAATAGAAAAGGATTGAAGAGATTAGATAAATACATTTTACATACGAGTATAGAATAAATCCTGACTGTGCTGCTGCTTCTTGTATGTTCCAATTGTTTCCCTTACTTCGGAGAGATTCTCCATCTGCTGGAGTTCCACCCTGACCAGGTAACAATGCAATCTCAATCTGGAATAGAAATGTCAAGGGAAATAGTTGCTAATCGAATAATTGCATCTGCTAATACTGATTAGTAGATTATTTTTAAATTGCTGTCATTTCGATGTAACTTTTATTTTTCATATCTATATAATATAGATCATGAAATCTTTAAGTAAGAAGTTTTGATAAATATATAGTATCAAGGTATTTTGAATTAAGGTATCTAACCAACATTTCCTGTGGCTTTTACTAAAGCTTGCAGCGATTTGAAGATATTTACAAGGAGCTTCCGATTTTCGCTGATCTTTCCTTTTCCTCCAGAGTGAGGAAAATTGAAATGAATGCTATCATACTGTTTCTGGTATATTGTAGGAGGTAGATCAGTTGCATCCACAGAAAACACAACTTTGACATTTTGTTCGGTCAGTGATTGTATCTTTTTTAGCACATCTGAATTGGATTATTTAATGATAATATTTCTACAATTAATAACAATTCTGATTAGGTCAACTACATCATTTACTGTTTATTTTAGACTGCCCAAAAACGAATTATAAGAATTCACAGGAAAGATGTCATTGATATAGATAATTGTGAATGTGAAAAAGACACTAATAATACAAATTATTGCACTCACCATTGCCGTAAGTTGATAGGAGTTCTTCCATCGACAAAAATACAGTAGACGTCAAATGATATTGGTTCATGATGGATGGAACCAAACTGGCACTGTAAGAGAAATCACCATCACCAAGAACGAGTATTTCATTTTCACAAGTATCCATTAACATTCTATAATTTGTGGCAGTCATAAGATGTTTATATATTGAATAATACAAACAAGCCATAAGTTGAAAGGCTCTGCAACTTGTGCAAATCAAATCAAATCACGTCATCATAAATATTTCTACAAAAATCTACCAAATTATACTTTCCGCTATACTACTATGCATAATAAATCCAACAAAACATACTTTATCTAATGCTTGAGCAATTTGATCAAATAATTCATCACCTGTAACGCTGTAACAGGAGTGGTTATTTTTGGACAAGTCTCAAAAGCATTCACTATGACAATGCATATAATAATAAATACAACATTTATAAACCGCCTTATAGCTAAATCATATAACTCGATATAATTTAATCCTAGAGATAAACTCCAGTGCTTTCTAAAGTGGCTCTTACATTAACTGAGCTTAGTTTCATTAACAAGAATTGCGCCCGTTGTTTCGTTTTAGCGGACGCTAGATTTCCATCACTATAACTATAAATATAAGCTCTAATCAGCTCACTTCATATTAATAATATTGAAACACATCAGTACACTACGCGTGCCACGTACAAATTGGGCTTATTACCTAATACTATACATTGCATAATATACATTAAAATACGCTCGCGCCGTGCATTCATTGACCACAGGCTAGCTATACACCACATCTCCGCAAGCAATCCTTGCGCGTGCGGCAAGTTGACATGGTAAGTAACAGAAGGACTGACGACATATATAAACCTACCTACCTCGTTCTCCAAAATCCACGTTTTTCTGCAAAAACGACAATTTTTTCCATCGCCTAAAAAGGCAATAGATGGTTAGAAGTGGTAGGATTTGAGAATGGGTATAGTTGGGTCACGAAATCCTCTCCGAACCTCCACGTGGTGTGGCCTGGTTGGCACTAACGGGTGGTGTGCTCTCTTGTTGAGTACTAAGGTTGGGACTTGCCAACTCAAAGTTCCCATGGGAACCAGGAAGTCAACAATAACAGCTACCAAGCACCAGGAAATTTCTCTTTCAGATATCAGGTTACAAGATAGTACACACACAAATGACGATACGTTAGACACAGATACCTAGCTCTAAGAGCTATTAAATCACCAGGAAATTCTCTTTCAGCTTTCAGGTCCCATCGAAGTCACCCACCACAGAGCTAGGGATTCCAATTCGCTCATCCTGACTACAAGGACACACTGATAATGAGTAGTCTTGGCACTTCCTCCCTCCAGTAACCACTTTTCAGGTCTTTTCAGTTAAGACAGCTAATGCGTAAGGGCTGACACACGCTAGACACAGGCTCGTGATAAGACAAAATTAGGGATTTCAACTCTGACTACGAGAACACACTGATAACGAGAATTCCTGGAACTTCTTCCTCCAGTAACCACTTTTCAGGGGACCGGGTTAGCTTTGCCACACTCTTTATTGAAGTGTGACTGGACGCTCTACAATCATCTAGTAGCAGCAGAGTTTGACTGACATCCTTACTGGTTCTATTCAGTTTCTACAGCGGAAGTTCTCAACACTCGAATCAGTTCATCTCGGACATCCTGCAGAGATGCTTTATCACAGCCTGCCCCATTACACGGGGAACCCTTAGATCTACAGTACCCTGGTGGACAGCTTAGCTCTTTAAGCATAGTGGACCTCTTTATTTCTGAGACGCAAAGCTAACCGGACCAGAAATAAACATCAATGCAATGCTTAGGGGATGCAAATAGGACATACAACGTTTAACGATTTACTCGAACTTTTGATTCATTTTTAAGCTCGACGTTACATGGTATCAATTCAGGACAGATATTCCTTCTTCAGGTTCATTGAGGAAATCGTACCCGCTATTTGCGTTATACATGGCAAGTTTCTGGACTAATGATAACTTAGGATCTCAATCAATCATAAATTCCTCTCAGATTCCCAGGCTGCATTTAAAGCCCTTAACAGCACCACTTTTAACTCCAGGTTCGTTCTGAACATCTCAGACCAACTCAACTCGCTAGGTTTTCGCATCGAGTAGAACTTTGTTCCAGGACATGAAGGAGTATACGGTAAAGAACTATAATCAACACCCAAATAAAAGATTACCTCTTCAATCTCCATATCAAGAAGTATAAACAGGTGGCACTCAGTGATAAAGGAAAAACCCCACTAACATTTTTCCTCAACAAAAACAGGTACAAGAAAATTAACATCACAGGTACTCACATCAGATGGCTAACATGGCTACTATCAGGACACAGCCCACTAGCATACTTCCAGACGGTAGCAAACAACTCCAATTTCGAAACACAAGACTGTGAACACTGCCCAGGGGAAGCAGAAACATCACAACACTTCCTATGTGAATGCATCCAGCTGATGACAACTAGAATGAGGATATTTGGTAAACCCATCCTAACAATTGAGGAACTCATCAATAGTAAACTCGACCACATTATCAAATTCGTGGAACAGTCAACAAGGTTTGACAGAGACGATCTATTTGGATAAGCATCTAGGACATACACCAAGGTTCATAAACAATCATACACTAGACCCACACAGGACCATCCCAGATAGTGACACATATTCAGGTGTGGACCATGCTCGGAAGTCCCTCGCCTGCCCGCCAAAGAAGAACATCTGAAGTGGGTTTGCTCTGAGCAAGGTAGTAACAGCTTCGAGACTCCAGAGGTCTGTTGCGTTGATATCTATTATTCTATGTTTTTGTATATACTTAGGGAGTCCTGGAGTGTGGCTAGCAGGAGTCACACTCTGTGGGCACGGCGAGAAGGCCTCCCTCTTCACTAGGAGGCCAGAAACCGTTGACCAAAACAGAGAGAGAGAGAGAGGGTATAGTGGGTATAGGTTTTTCGTTGTGTCACAAAGCAAAACATGCATTAACCTCCGCAAACATGTGCTCCTTTACAAATTATCTTTTGATGGTCGCGCGCGCATTTTACAATGCTTTTATGTCAAGGTGTACTCTATACCAAGAATCGAGCTAATAAATCGTGTACGGCGCGCATGTATATCTCTTTTCGCTATTATACATTTTGATTCGCATTGATATTTGTCGTTTAAGCTTTCGTTAACTTCATGCGATACAAACTTCTCATTTTGTTGTGGGTGCTTGGTGCAACCCGATATTAGTAATCCGTTATGTTGTTGTATAAATTATGATGTTATGACTATCATGTTGAACATGATTGCCCATAGATTGATTCATTATATTTAGACAAAATGAACGATACATTTTATTATGATTCACATTGTATTAACTACCACAGATTTGATTGGGTGACATCTGTCCGACAGTCGAATTACCGGTTTCGGACAAGAGTCGCTGTCAGATAGGAGTCGTTTTTGGCGACATCTGTCCAACTTTCGGATCACATTTGCAATTTCAGATCACGTTCGTATTTCACAAGCTCACGTGTAATCTTGTGACGTTGCTCCCACAGTCCTAATATAATGCTGATTTGATCCATTGAGATCTGATCCATCGATACGTGATTGACTATTTGAGGAAAGGATCATGCTAGCCGCGTACACTAACAAGCTGTAACAAGCTGTAACAAGCTGCCAATCACATCACAGCCTACATTACACACAGGAGAGCGGTATGGAGATCAGTTATTTATATAACATTTAAACTATTGTCCAATTTTTGACATCAAATGATAATAAACTATGGTAGAGTTCAGCTCAGGTCATATCTCAGTTCAGATCATGTCTCTATAATTGGAAAATGGAAATGTGTCGTATTGCAATTAGATCACAATTTCGGACAGATGTATTTTTTTACTGGTAACATATTGAGTCGGACAAGAGTCGCTGTCGGACAGATGTCCTTTTAACTGCATCATGCATATCACCGCACAGGCTGCGCTACGGTGTCCGGTCGTTTAACTTTCGATTCAAATAATTGACAACGGCAATCCCTCCATTTTGTTCTCTGTAACGCCCCAAAGAAATTTGGTAATTTAACCAATATGAAACGATTGTTAATTGTAATTAATTACGGGCGATGGAAATCTAGCGTCCGCTAACCGGCGCAATTCTTGTTAACCTTTCACTATTGTTTTTTTACAAAAGCGTGAAATGGAAAAAATAAGTACTCTGTCTCTAGAAACTTAATGGCTGGATGACAAAGAACTTAATCCGGCCTTTTACTGAGTTGGCTCCCTTGCGATTCTACATCCAGAAACACGGCAGTCTGACTGGGAGGAAATTTTGGATTTAATAGGACATTATCATTTCTTCTTATTATTTAGAAGACCTGACCTACTTAAGGGCACAAGAAAATTGTTTGGGGGGAGACATTGGACTGGGAGGAAAGTATTGCATGTATTGCATGGGCATATATCGACATGGTGTAAGGTACACTCCAGTTTATATGTACTGAAGGATACTTTTAAAAGATTCATGACATTTGGGTAGGGTCCCTTAATAACGGTAACAGTTTCCAAATCTTTCGAATGAGTTGACCGCTAAATACTCAATCATTGGCCTTAATATGACGATGGCCTTGACATACGTTGCATGCCACTTTTCGCGCGCGAAGCGCCCGCCGCCGAAGGCGGAAAAAGTAATAATATAATAATATCTCTGATATTTGTGATACGTAACATGTATCCACGATGGCCCAAAACTACTGCATATTGTCATAATTAGTGGCAAATTTAAAAAACAATAGCGGTCACCCCTAATCTGCTAATCATAGTCATTTCACTAATAACTATTTTTACTCAATTAATTAAGTATTATATGATTAATATCGCATGACATTACTATACACCATAATTTGTTGACAAAGCACATATTTTAATTATAGCAGAGGGTTGACGGATGCTACTCGTCTAAATTTCTTCGAAGTAGCGCGCGCCGCTTTCTTCTCGAAATGGCCCGACGGCAAGTGCTACGAAGTAGCGCGCGCCGGGCCAGACCATTAACAATGGTCAAAGCAGAGGGCCTTATGGGAATTTTATGCTCGATACGCTGGCATGGGGACCTCAGATATATTTATATACATGTATTTTTGACCGTATAATCGATTAAAATTGATTTTGTGTTTTGGAATCGGAATGATTAAATTGAGTTTTTTTCAGTAAAATTGCAAAAAACTTATTTGTTTGCTCAAAATTAGGTCAAAAACCATGTTTTAGATTTTTTAAATAAGTTAATTTTATTGGAATACAAGCAAAATTTGCATAAAAATAATTTAAAACCAGCTGCATTATATTTTATTTTTCTCGGGTAACATTTTTAAAAAGTAGTAAACATTTGATATTTTTGGTGTGCAATTTATTTTTGATACTATAGTGAATATCTGATAATAATGATCAATCTAAATGAGTTGAATAAAATTATGGATAAAAATGAAAAATGTTTTAAAATGAAACTACAATTTTAGGTGCGCCGCGCATTTTTCACCAATATACACCACAGTATTAAAATCGAGCGCTGAAGCAAATACTGTCATATTTTCATTTTTAGAATACTTTAAGCCTGACAGATGTTATATTGATATTGTTGCATTACAGAACTCCTTTTGTTTTTATTTGATTATCGATTCGAGGTGTAATTTGATTATTAACCATGTTTTTCATGTATTCTCACTGATGCGGAGTCCTCATCCATACTAACTCCCATCGTTTTTATTGTATGCTTTATCCCTCAAAAGTCGACATGCAAGTTATTTTTATCTTCACCATATTTTATCGTGATTGGTTGATAATGAATTTGTTTTCATGGATCCATTAAGGTTACACTATGCCCACCAAACTGAGAATTGAAAGATCTGAACATTTCTTGCCGATAAGTTGGAGCCAATCCGGCCTAGCAAGTACTTGTGAGATAGTATAAGATTCTCATCGTGTATTACAGTCTCAGTGTATTACAGTCTCAGTAATCTCATCTGCATTGAGAACTGGGATTTGATGCTCTAGTAGTGACTTGAAGGAACTCCAAATTGGAAGTGATTGAAGGTTAAAGAAGGAGAGACCCTGCCAAAAGTTCTGAAATCTTGTACCTATACCCGTAAACATGCACACTTCGCATGTAGTACAATGTAAACCATTGTGAGACTGTATTATCTCAATTTTGAATCTTTTCAGATTCCCAATTAACTTTGTCAAGTTGAAATGTTTAAATTGATATGATATTTATTTTGATACATCATTTATTCTTATCTAATAATATTAATCTAATATCATCTTTGTTAACACATTCAATCTACATGAAAGTACATTAACCTTTGAATAATGTAACTTATTCAGAATATTTTGCAGATAAACAATGGAAACATGCTCTAATGTTATTCGAAGACCTTGGCCTTAATAGGCTAATTTACAGCAAGCTCCAACTCCCAACTGCATCTGTTAGTCTTCACAATGGGAGCAACATAATCTACAAGGGGAGTTTTATTAAGCAACTCAACCATGGCCATGGCAAGAAAAAGTTCAACTTCTACCAGTCGACATTTGATCTTATGCAGCAATGTGCCAAACAATCAAGGCTGTCTCAATCAAGTTTTCAATACAGTTTGATCACAAATGGCACTGTTGACAGTTATCTGCTGCCATATTGCAGATTTATTTCCATTTCTGAGAATGATGGAAAATATACATTTAGAGTGTTTCATCAGCATGTTGAACTGAGTGACATTCTACACAGTGATTCTGAAACATTCAATTATATTTTTCATCAAGCTAAAGCAGATTTCTATCGCTTTCTGAAATATTGCGTTAACATTGAAAACAGAATTACTTGGGTGTATTCAACATATGGCTTATTGTTTGCAGGCTTGCTAAAGCGCCTGAATTTGTCATGCAATGTGCTCAATTTTGAGAAGTTGTTGCGACTTTTAGATGTTCCAAACAGTCCTTTTGTGAGAGCCAACAGTGTGCCTATTATTGAAAATGCCAATTACTTTGCTCAAAAATTTTCCACAGCTGATGAAATTCATTATACCTTCGTGAAAACTATTGATGACCAAACATTCTGCAGACCACTACATACTTTCCAAGTCTCAGTTTCAGTTAATAACAAAAAACTTTCTGTTGAAGTATGTCATCAAGCAATACTCTCGATTTCAGAGCATGAAATATGTATCACATCCTCAGAGAAAGGACAAGTTGTTGTAGCAGCTGATTATGACCAAATGACAAGACTCAAACTATGCAAATCTAAACAAAAGTGGTTTCAGCTACATTTGGCAGACTCATCTGTTATAGACATAACCATATTGTCCGACAGCAGCAAAGATCTTGAATCATGTATAGCTTTAATTGACATGTATTTCAGAGGAAAAGTCAAATCCATAATGCTAATTGAGCCAGTATCAAACAACCATTTTGATTCATATGCTATGACATATAATGAACTGAACCAGTCCCAAACATCCACAAATATCTATAATGTTATCGAAAAAAGTGGGCTTCCCTTGAAGTTTGTTAGTGTCAAACAGTCTCGTCAGATTCTGAGAGATCTTGGGTTCCAAGTTGGTTGGTATGTTCTCTTTAAGCCCCCATATCTACCCCATATCTACCTACTTTGCATCGTTTTGAACTCTGAGACTAACGGGGACAAGAAGACTCATCCTATTAAAGTAGTTAACAAGGATGGTTATTTCATGGTTGATGAAACTTCTAAGAAAAAGAAAAGCACCCTTGGTCCAACAGAGCTGCCTTGCAAATATCGTTCCCTTGAAGCACTCTTAAACAGCATCAAAATCCGTGTCCGCAACAAGGACCTTGTCATTCGCCCAACTCAGATAGTCACTGAAGAAATGATCACAGACATACGCAAAACCAAAATGTTCTTCTCAGATGCAGACCATGATTTTCATAAACAATCAAACATCTTATCATTATTTTGCCTCAATTTAATTCCTAATTCATCTTGTACTAAATCTCTCTGCACATCATTTACTGGTCATTGGGTCAGTCCACAAGGACAGAAGAAAGCCATTCGAGCTTTTCTGTACAACAAGAAGTATATGGAGAAGGATTCGTTGACCATTGTTGCAAGAATTGCTGAAATATCCCGACCGGAATTTGTCCATGAAAATATCTTGAAGTGTTTTGGATATGCTGATGACGGATTAAACACCATATACTATGTTCATGAACAATTTGGACTTGAATTCTCCGACACATTTGTTCAAGATTACACTGTTGATCAGCTGTATGATTTTGGGAGACAGATTAAGAACGGTTTGCAGTTTCTTCACGATCGGGATATAGTCCACGGCTTTCCTGCTCTTCAAAACGTCTACATCAACGAGTCTCGGAAGCAAGTTAAACTGGGAAAGATAGGAATCCTATCAGCCATAATGCATGCTTCAGAAACCCACAGATCTGACGAGGGTTCCTCAAGTCACGGGAGTTCATTCTTAAAAGCGGCCAAGTGTCCGGAAGTGAACGAGTTGTTAAGTAGCTGGTTCTCACAGAAAAGGGTCAGGATGCTACACGAGTATCCCGAGGAGAAACTCCAGGAAACATGGGACAGGTTGGTTTATTTTCTTAATCTCGACAGTATTTTTAAACTACAGTTCGGGTTCCAGGCATGAGGCAAGTTGAATGTTTTATTTCAGCACGATGGTGTGGTGGTGTCAAATTTCATCGGTTTTAATTACTTGACGAGATAACAAAAAAAATTGATTTGTAGATCAGCTGCTACAGTTCCATTAACGTAATACCGACCGTCTTAATCATTTCGTTGATCGTCTTTCCATCCGAGCATCGACTAATTTTATATAGAATTACTCCACCTTTCATCACCACCCCACTTTATTTTGAAAATGTAAGCCTTCTAGAACAAACTGCCGATGAGCTCTCCTAATATTGAGAGTAAGTGGTACACTATTTCATTGATAATTTCGAATTCCGATCTGACCCAAATAGGGCATTGAGCAGCTATCGTCGAGCCAGTTACACAATATCGTATGATGAGAGTTATATAGCTGTATCTCAGTTGAGTTGAAGTGGAGACACCAGACTTGAGCTATCCTCATTGACATAGTACTAGTACGTTAATGAAAAAGATTTTGTTAAGATATATATTTGTTGTTTAACTAAGATGTGCAACACGTAAAATTTCGCAATATTATGATATAATATGATTTATAACCCTTGCGATCCTTTAGTCAAGGATGATACATACTAAGACCACAATTCACTTGTACAATGGCTATAAGATGGAGTTTCCCCGGAAAGCTACAAGATTTGAGTTACTCTGCGGACTTGCCAAAGATGTGCGAGTTTCACCTGATCTCTTCAAGTTTGGTACCCTGTTCTGCAATCAGAGTTACTGCCTTCCGTACTCAAAGAAAAATCCTGATGCTCACATCAAGGGGTCGTTTTACTACAGATTCCCAACATCACTGTTAAACATAGAAGACATTGTCCATCAGTGTCCCGAAGTTTTTAACTACATTTATCTTCAGTCAGTTGATGATTTAAAGACAAATGGTAGCCCACTAGAGAACTCGGGTGACATTGCCAGCGTTCTAGCGGTCAAATTGTCAGAACTGGGTATCAGCGATGTATCTGAGGTTATGGTAAATTATTTGCTACCTGTTTTAGGGTTTACATCAGTTTCTGTCGGTGAGATTATGGAGCTCGTTTCCAAGTCCCTGCTAAAGTGCAGTGAGAATCTCATGGCGGTGAAATGTAAATTAATTAAAAATGTCACTGAACAAAGCAGAAAGAGATGCATATTTGATTGTTCAACAGATGCAACTCAACATATTCGTGCTGAGATTACTAAATCATCTCTACTGTTGAGTGATTATGAAATCATACTGACAAATATTGACAAAGTTCAGTTTAACTTCAAGCATCACAGTGCTACAATTGTCACTGCCCCAAACTCTCGTCATGAACTGACGTTTAGCTCAAGGACGAGTGTAGAATCATTTCTCACCCTTCTAGACATGGCTTACAAGAAAACTTCTCCAGGTAACCATATTCTGGATCACAAACTTTCCGACGATTTTCACTCAGAATCGCTAATTTATCATGACCCCAAGTTTGTGATTGTGAACACTGCTGAGGACAGGAATAAGCACACACAATTCAATTATTCTTTGGTTGATAAATGTTCTTACGTCATGAAGATCGAGAATGCGGATGAGGCTGAACAAATTTTACGTTCTCCCGGAAACGAATCTAAATTTCTGGTGACGGATAATTTTCTTGTCAAAGAACCGGCAAAGATTTTAAACCAATACTACTTCTTCATGGTTATCGGAGACAGGTTTAGGTCTAGAAGGATAGAAGTAAAAGAGGGTGGACGTTTCAAGATCGACAATCAGCATGGGTATCTGTCTCTGATCAAACTCTTCAACCAGATTAACTTTATGGACAAAACGGATGCAGTGAAGAAGAAGATGGAGCTCAAAGACCCTGTGACATGTGAGGATTTAATGCAGATCGCAGAACATAAATCCGTCTACAGCACCAAGCGTGAGCCTACCCTCTCACCCATGAACGTGGCATTATCACCCATCCCCCGCTCCTACCATTACCTCTACATACGACACACGGGGGTGCTTCATTCTCCCAAAACAGTCAGGCCTGTGTCTGTGACACAGTTTGTAACTCATAACATGAACTATGGTAGTTCCATTCTAGTGCCGCTGATAGAACATATCAAGGGTCTCCACACAAGTGGGATAGCCCATCAGAATCTAGCTGAGTTTGTAGGAGTCTACAGACTGAATCAGATGCCCTGTATTGTTGAGGAATCCTTCTCTACCCTTCTTAATGTCCGGTTAAGCAAGTTTCAGCACTCTGTTGAGCAGTTATACTTCCTGGGAAAACAAATAGTAGCTGGTATTCTGTATCTGCACGAGAAGAGGATAGTTCACGGCTTCCCCGTCATGCACAATATCAGCATCTGTTCAAAGGGGATTGTGAAACTAAGGTTTGTTGGGATTCTCCCTGAGCTGATCAAGCGTAGAGATGTCTACAACCCTCTACTGTTACGAGAGTATCTGCCTCACCTTGCCTCATATGGTCACCCTGCTAGGTGGCTCCACCGCTCCATGATATTCTCTAACGCTCCCTGGAACATTGAGGTTGACAGGTGAGCTGAGTCTTGGTGCAATCGGCTACCTTCAACAGTCTCTCACCTCACAACTACCTTCCTTCTAGCCGACATACTTCGTTTAAATTCTAACGCGATATTTTGCATTTCGATCGGAGACGATAACCTTTTATTATAAAAGGGAGTCCTGAACTATCATAAATTCTAGTGAAGTCGAATGACTGCTTTTCAGTTAAGATTTCAACGAATGCTCGAACAAAAAGATAGCCGATTGCACTCGTTACATGTCTGTTATCATAGTTTTTAACTTTATAGTCAGGACTTCCTTGTTTGTAATCTTTTTATTGTGTGTTGTGTTAAAAGAAACATTAACACTATCCCAGGAGTGATAAATTTACCGAACTAAACTGTATAACACGTCATCAAAATAAACCGAATTTCTCAGTTTTTACACCACTTCACCCCAGGTACGTGTTTGGGTGTACTCTGTGGCAGCTGTACAACAAGGGAGCTGTACCTCTCCCCGACAAATCAGATCAGGATATCCTCGAGAAACTTGAGGTTTGATAATTATATAATTTGATAATTCAGTTTTGAGAGCAAGTTTTTTTGTGGTGTGCAGAGTTTTTAAGCGAGCTCAATTCTCTGTTTCGCAAGTCCATTCAGCACGTCATTTTAAAAGTAAAAATCGATTGTGTTAAAAAAATGTATTTTTAAAGATTGAACAACAGCAACTTAAACTATAATAAGATATTCACAGACACAATCACATTGCAACTGGTAAAACTTGTAAAGTGCAACCATCAAACATTCTTCCTGATCGGTTTCATAAACCTGCAGTAGGCGTAGTATTTCCCTAGATAGTATCTAGTTGAACAGGCTCCTTTGGTTGCTGGGTTACTTCTGTCCATAGCAAGGGAACCTTTTCTGGCCTTCTTAAACAATTCCTCACAGACCTGAGATACAAATATTATGTTTACATTTAATGAAAATTCATCGAGTATTTTTATTTATTAAAGTATTTAAATTTCATTGTGTTCGTTCACATTAAAGACATTTAAAAAAAACATTGTGTATTCAGTACCTCTTTCCAGTCTCCAGAACTGATACAGTAAGCATAGGAATTTCCAAACTCATTCATAGCTCGACATCTCTTTGATCCCAAGTCCTTGATGAATTTCTCGGTTTTGCCTTTGAAAGCAAGGTCCCATTCTTTACCGGATACAACATTGAACGCAGTAGCCGTGTTGAGCAAGCATTCATCTAAATCCTCCTTCTGAGCAGCGATACCCTGAGTCAGCGAACAGACATACACATAAACAAGTATACTTGTCAAGCAAATCATAATAGCTGCGGACAGTCGACCAAAATAAAACAATCTGTTATTACTGGACTCAGTTGAGCTATTATTGACCATGTAACGACGAGCTTTTGTAAAGGGGGCGTTATTGCGCAATGAATTTGAGTCTGATACTTAATAATTTAGTAATTATCTCCCTTAACAATCGTATTTTCAAGTCTTTAGGCGTAAATACTACGTGGCGAGATATTTAGAGGGTTCCTGCGATTTGAGTTCTTTGACAAATCATTCTCTTTTAAATGAGTTAGTTCTGAAGAGGCTATTCTGTTTCATAATTAAAGTCTGAAAGGTGCGACTGAATCAGACCGCCAAATAAAGATACCATTATATGATGCAGGTTGTATTGCCACACCAGCTATCGTACTAGGAGATTATTTACAATTTACATGGTGTTGTCAATAAAACTGCATCAATTAACATTTTACACAAATCGTAACTTGTTTCAAAGTTTATGGATTGGGCTGTTTAGATCAGCAAAGACCCTTAGGGCCGAGTTGCCTCAATAGTTGCGTGTGTGTCAATAAAAAACATGCCAGTGTCATACATCACAGTTAAACATCATTTATTAGTATTTAAAAGGAACAATCGATTAAAAGTCAAATATTATGACACACATTTTTAGCAACAGATATCTGTTCCCATTTCTTTTGGTGATTAACATAGAAAATCTGTGCCCTGTGCTATCTGACTCCACTCTGAAGTTTTAGGGACATAATTCTATTCCTAATTTAAAATCCAATAAAAATGATTGACCCACTACCAATCACAGGGCAAGGATTTCTCTTGGTTTACAGGTGGGGGCTACTTCAGACTGCCCAACACAGACACAGAGTTCCTCAATAAACTACAGAAGATTATTTGTGTCTGTGTTACGTGGGGCAACAAGGATAACTTGGTATGTCACTTCTAATCTTTTTAATTATGTACGTTTTCTGTTTTTTTAAGCGCTTATCGCTTTTTCTGTTGAAATTCGAGCGCTTGAAAACCTTGAAAATGTATGTTCAATCAATGTCATTTCCAGAAGTAAAAGTCAGCTTTTCCCAAAGCTCCCACGGTCTAATTCCACCTAATTCCCAATTAATACCACCTAATTAACATGCCTGCCAGGAGAAGTACGAGTTCAGGAAGATAGCGGCAGCTTACGAAGAGTTGGCAGACGTTGTCAACATTGAGGAACCGACCTCCTCAGATTTCATACTCAAGGTTAACTTCTGTTATTTTAAATGTTACCGTGTGTGTACCGGTACTACAAATAATAAAATAATCGTATATTTTATAATTTGTGCTATTTGGAGTTAAGGACCCGGTATATTTTACTACAATGTTCCCGTCAAATTCAGATTTCAGTCCCGTAGCACTGTAGCAGTGTGGTCATTTCTCTCGGGTAATGTACAGATAATAGGTCTTACCACCATATAACCACCAGTCAGATGATTGCGTTGTATTTTATTTATTCTGTTTTTACCGCAGGCTGGCAATGGAAAGCTTGATTTCGATGTAAACGTGACAGAACCGTCCAACTGTAAATACACCCTAGTTGAGGTAAGCGTATTTGATTTAATGAAGAGCAGTGTAGCTCCTATCAGGGCTCAATTTTAGATTTCGATCTTTGTGCAAGAAGACAGTAGTGAGTAGTAGTATAATATCTAATAACTTTTGAAATCTCACTCTTCACCCTCGCAAATCTACGCAGTGATAACAAATTGTCAAAATTATGATAGATCAGTTGTTAGTGTACTGGTTGTTACCGCACGTGTCCTGGGCAATTTTAAAGTTACATATTATTATATATTCTATACTAATTAATATATGTAATATTCCGCATATACTGTTAATTTTCATAATATTATGCATGTTTTTATGGTTTTTAATTTGCTTACGCTTCCTCAGTTGGGTCTCAAGGAAGAGAAATCAGTTTGGTTATGTTTACGTTTCCTTTGCTTATAGATCTAGTTGAACTTAGTAAGTTTCTATATGTTTCAAGTATTCGTGTGAAGAAACTATTTCTGAAAAGCGGTCTAGCGTAAATTATAGGGATACGCATCTGGTTTCACTCTAGAACACTGAACAACCTTCCGATTTCAGAACGATCTGTATATATTCTGAAAATCAAGAAAAGTCTAGAGGAAGTCCGAACATCAGATAAAGGATATGAACAGAGTCTGTCATTAAACCTAATTTTAATCCAATTTACTGAACACCCCCTAGATCTTAAAAGCCCCCGAACCCTACTCCACTTAACTCACATTACAGCTGTAATATAACCAGGAGAGATAATGACCCGTACGTGGTCAGGGGGCTAATCTTATCAATATTTCTCAACCTTCTAGAATATTTCCCACATCCGATATGTAAACAGTTTACGCCATGTGGCCTGTGAACGTGGTCTTCGGTTTCCTCGCATGTTCTACATATTATTCACTTGTATAATGTGTAATTAATACCATACAATAATTTTGATCCCTCATTTACTAATTCTTATTTATTCTCCAATCATGTGAACATGATTTTGTTTTCGCTGTCACTAATTGTGCTGCTCTCTTGATATAATATGTTGTTCTTTTTGGCTGCGTATTTTAATTGCGTTTGTTCATTTTAAGGTCACATATCCAAATTGAGACTTAGAACGGTTTTTTTTCATCGGTAATATTATTATTTTAATATTAGTATAAATTGACATTCTCCACTTTCCTAACATTTTTACGAAAACCTGTCAGTGTTTCAAGTACTTTTCTATGGACAATGAAAAGCAGTGGCCGGATGACATAATTTTGGAATTATGGCATAAATCTTTACTAGCACAATGAAATCACTGTAGGTCAAATACCAGTTCCGAGATTGGGCTGGTGACTCTAGTGAAAGTGCTGGTGACGATGAGAAAGACCATAAACCAGGGATTCCTTCGGGAGCATGTAAGATTATATCCAAAGTTTGTTCGCCAATGGGGTGTGTCTGGGTGTCAAAGATCTTCAAGGTGGGTGCTACTTGTGATGAACTCTAGAAGGATGGGGTGGTAATACTCGGTCTGGCCGTCTGGAAGCCCATAGAATTCCAGTTCAGAAACCGAGTAAGGAGGTGCGGCTACTGATGAGAAGCCTCCTTAAAGTTTTTTTGGGTTAGAAACGACATCTGGGTCCCTACCCTCGCACAAGATTATTCTCAATTTTCTTGTTGTGTTCCACAACAATTACAGAAACGAAATTTTGACATGAATCGTGACGTCATCTATGTCTACATATATGTGATTGTTTTTAACTATTTAATTTGATCTGCCTACTGATTTCTTAGAAATACATAACTTTTTATTGGAAATGGGCCATTTCCAATACAACATTCAGATTAAAATAAATTTAATTCGGATCACTTCTTTTGTCAAGCTGAATCACTTTCGACCGTCTTTTTATTCCAACATTTAGCTCGAGACTTTTCATGGCAATTATTGTTGACCGATAATATCTACAATCTAAATATTGATAAATTCAGCATCATCCTGTAAACTTCCATTTCTCAGAAATGGACCTTACCTGATTTCTATTAATTTTTGTGATTTTTATAAACGTTCGAGTTTGCCCTTTACGCCATTGCTGGCTCGCATCCAAATAGCTATTGTTATATTATAGTTACTTAACACGTACCCCTTTTTTTGTACATTGGTCATTGTATAATTTGGAGGAAATTGTATGATATTTGAATTATTTCCAAAATTGTCCACATTAATATTATTCTCTGGCTTTAACCATGATATTCGAAATTATGATCGTAAAACTTAGACTGCTATGTCTCATTTTATGGAAAGAAGTTTAAAGAACGTAATTTATTTTCTATCGAGGAAACGTTTAGTCAAACATTAAATCCTTCGACCTACGAAGGTTGCATTATTATATTGGTTAGAATGCTCATGACTAAAGTTCGGTTTTGTACCCCGATTTAACTGATTAATCCGCCAGTTTATGACCCGAATCTTCCACCCTTGAAGATGACTGAAGAGACAGAACCATTATTGGCAAGCCGCCAACCAGACGCTCGCACCAGTTGGAGGATTTACAGTGTGATGATACTGTTTGGTCTGGCATCTCTCCTTCCCTGGAACCTCATGATCACCGCTAACGGTTTTCACGTGGCTAAGTTTTCTGAAACCAACTCCGAAACCATCATAAACAACTTCCCAAGCTACATTGAGATCGTAGGAATAGGTTCCAACTTCATTGCAGCCCTGCTGGGTGTAGTCGTCCTCAAGATACACAACCTGGTGACAGTGGTGACTCTCTGTAACACCTCAGCCCTGCTCGTCTTCCTGGTCATCACGGTCACAGCTTACCTCAACACCGCTAACTGGGCCTTCTCCTTCTTCATCATGACCATGATGCTGTTCGGTGTTGTCATGTTCACCTCTGCTATCTTCATGTCTGGGATGATGGGTCTGTCATCTATCCTCACTACCAATGCAGTCCAGGGATTTTATCTAGGTCAGGGGTTAGCGGGTCTCTTTTCTGCCCTCCTCTGTATTGTTACTCTTGCTTTTCCTAACTCTGATCCGGTATCTGCTGGCTTTTATTACTTCTTGATAGCTTCCTTTACACTGCTCATCTCCCTTGTAGTATTTGTTGTCTTCGGCAGGACTGAGTTTGTTCAGATCGCTACATCAAAAAAGAGTTCAAATAATGCTGAAATTATCGGAGCAGAAAGAAAAGAACTGCTTTCACCAAGAGATGCTCAAGTGCCTGATGAAGCAACAACCCAGAAGAATACAGCGATGTCAGTGTTTAAAGTGATTTGGAGGTTTTGTCTGACAACAGTGCTCACTTCAACCATCACATCAGTTTGTTTCCCAGCAGCCTTGTCCATGTTGAGGTCCTCTGCTAGGCCCATTGATCATGGCGCGGAGGAGAGCTGGACTGGTTACTTCCTGCCTGTCACAGTATTCCTTGTGTTCAGTGTTGGAGATGTGCTAGGTAGGATCACCTCCAGCTGCTACTCTCTCCCTACCCCCACCTATCTCCTACCTGTATCCTACATTAGACTCCTACTCGTACCTTGTATCTACATGACTAACCTTCACCCTAGGAACGTGTCAGTGTGGTTTCATAATGACGCCTGGGCAGCTCTCTTCAATTTCCTCCTCTCCTGGACCAACGGACACTTCATTTCTCTGGCGGCGCTGTACGGCCCGCAGATGATGCAGACTAAAAGGGGCAAATCCTTTGCTGGGACTTTGTTATCTTTTAGTTATGCGCTGGGACTTCTGTCTGGAGCTGTGCTGGTGTTCCCTCTTATGAAGATTATTTATAGGCCTCTCCCTCAAGACAGCCAATAGAGAGAGCTCCTAAAATGTATTTTGAGAGTTATTACTAAGAGATTGAGTCGTTATTTTTGACATTTTACCTCCGCTGGAGAATAAAATAGATATTCTACCAGATTTTCGTCACGGTTTGCATGGGAAGGCGAATTATAGTTACTAATCCGAGAATTGTTGGGTTATAAACTTAAATAAAAAGTTTATAACCCAACAATTGTCCATTTTGATCAATCATCCATTAACTTCTAAAAGGATTAAGATTCCGCCCCATTATTTATATTACCAGATTTAACATTAAACTGTGATTTGCAATGTTTACTGTTTATACGGCCAGGCCTTTTTAAATGTCATTTATAATTAAATGCTATTATTCGGAACAACAAACCATAATTTAGAATTGTTAATTTATTTGGTTATTTTCTTTTGACTAACTAATAAAAATATGCACATTTGTCTTATTTTGTTGTAGTTTTAGTAATAGATAAGACACTAAGCTCACTCACTACTCGGTACTTTTTACTAAATGATGCTTTTTGTAATGTTTTTGAAATGTTTTGTATGCTCGAACGAAATACGTTGTATTATTTCCAGTCAGCGTCGACGACAGGTCCTATTTACAGATTTACGATGTGCAAATTACAGTTATTACTCCCAATGCTACCTGTAGTAATCTAAGTAGGATTACTACAGGTAGCCAGGTACCTGTAGGAGCCAGCTCCCAGCCACTATCTAGCTGTATGTTTAACTTATAAATTAGTTATTAAGTAATAAATACACTATCTAGCTAGCTGTATGTTTAACTTATAAATTAGTTATTAAATAATAAATATACTGACTCGCCGGTCTACAGTAGCCTCAACTTATGTACACTGATTAGTAATCACAAATAAAGTGAGTGACAAATCTTACGCATCAGCTGAACACTGGAGTATAATACAGAGTCACAGACACTAGATTGGATCTACAGTGTAGATTCTACATCTGGTGGCTCTTTATAATACCGATCATTCATATTAATTATTAATTCGTTTAATCAGACCCTGTAACAATACACACCACACTACAAACAACACACAGCATAATTACACACTGTGTGACACTAACTGCCCCCAGGAGGACGACAACAAGAGGGTAGTGTTATTAAGCAGTAAGAAGAGTAACCTACCCCGCATTCCCTCTAACATGGGGGGCCAGCTTAACCAAGTTAAAGACATGCTCCTAGAGAAGGACAAACTGCTCCAACTCTCTGATCTCCAGCGTGAGTGTGACTTTTTCATTAACTAAGTTATTGTTTAAGTTTATTAACTTAAACTGCATAGCTGGGATGTAATTACATTAAAATTAGTATCGGGTTAGAGGTTGTTCACACATATTACGTAATCACTGAGGGGGTTCCTTAATGACTACGCTAGTGTAATTTTAACACAATAGCTATGGGTAAAACTGATTACTGTACGGAGGGGTTAACAAAATTGGCAAAATGCGATCACGTAATATTATGTGAACGACCCCTTATGTAGCCGCGAAATCAAGCCACGTTTTCCAGACTATTAGAAGACTCTTATAGTCTGAACGAAATACCGTTTATCAGGATAAACGGTATGTCGTAACCTTGAGCGTACAAGCAGGGGACTTGTGTGTACAAGCAGGGGACTTGTGTGTACAAGCAGGGGACTTGTGTGTACAAGCAGGGGACTTGTGTGTACAAGCAGGGGACTTGTGTGTACAAGCAGGGGACTTGTGTGTACAAGCAGGGGACTTGTGTGTACAAGCAGGGGACTTGTGTGTACAAGCAGGGGACTTGTGTGTACAAGCAGGGGACTTGTGTGTACAAGCAGGGGACTTGTGTGTACAAGCAGGGGACTTGTGTGTACAAGCAGGGGACTTGTGTGTACAAGCAGGGGACTTGTGTGTACAAGCAGGGGACTTGACCTTATTAGTTATTACTGGCCACACATTTACCAATCTCTAATGGCAATGTTACCCAAGAGGTATCCGTAAAATAATAGTATGGTGTCTCCAACACACGCGCTGTAATCAAATTGGACTGGAGTGATATCTTTCTTTACAGTTGTGTAATCTGATGTAGAGTAGCTCTTGCCAGTCCACGCCTACCTTGTAGATTGTTTAAAGTCCATTCCATACCTTATAGTTTGGAACCCACCCAAATGTAATATAAGCGAATATCCAAAAACTGCCAAAAAGTTTGCAGGTACAGGCACTGATAGCACGAAGTGAATTTTATAAGTGTAGTCGAGAGAGACATCGGAAAATTCCAATGATATAACTTGCGCAGAGAATTTTAAGCACCTTTAGTAAAGGCTGGGCCTACATAGTGTACATACCTACCGCTAGATGTAAGTTGCTGTTCAACTGTCTTCATTTAATTTACCATAAGTTATGTCAAACAGTAAAGTTATCTAGATCGTAAAGAACAACATTGTACGTGTGAATTCCATACCAAGCGAGGAATGTTATTCTATTTAGTCTCAGATAGTGCTTGTGGAACTCATTGTATTAAATCTTTAATAGAATGAATTTACTTTTCAACTTTGTTTACATAACATGTTCGGTATCATTTACATTCATATTCTATAAATGTAGCTGGTTTATTTTCCGAGGGTGTACTATGATAACGTGCTCTGCATGTAGAATCTGGAATTTGTTACGATAAAATGCACCCAGACACATTTATGGAATGTTAAAAATACTCTTCAGTCATCCTCATCGTTCTTCTCTTTCCTGCGAAAATCACTGTGAAAATTAATTTGGATCCCTGCGAACCGTGCGAATAAGGCAGATCTGTAGATATATTTCCAATCTTATGTCAATTCGTTTAGAATTAAATTCTCTTTCCCTGGTATGTAAACTGATAAGGTTTCCGTTTTATGACTTTGCGTGAATAAACCGGTGAAGAATTTACCGGGCGTTATTCTTAAGTTGGGGTCCATTGGCACAGAAATGTTATTACTTTAAAAGTTTAACACGTGTCTAATACGTGTCTAACTGTGTTTGTTATTAATATTCAACTGCTGTAACTCAAAGATGGGTAATAACATGTCTTGTACTTACTGTACCAAATAATTATACTGTATAGGATTTCTCACGACGAGAGGTTAAGAAACTAACAATTTACTAACAACTAACTTACAATTTACCAACATTTAAGTTGCAATTAATGGGTCCATGTAATTGCGGTCATCGCCCATCAAATTTTACAGATGGTGTGCATCATTAATCAATTTTTATTACTTCATTGCTGTAATCTGTGAAATTTTAATAGTATTTTATAAAAAACCAACCTTAACCGGGCCACATTCCAGGACCGGACGAAGGGAACTTCATGGTACCACCTCCAGGTACTCCTAAAATAGAAGCTCTGTGCTCCAGATTCTCTCTCAACAAGAACGTGTGGGTCAAATCTTACTCCAAATGTAAAGACGTTCCTGAACAGGATTTTATAGAGGAGGTGAAACATCTGCTGAAGTTCGAACACCCGTGAGTATTGTCATGTGATCTTGCACGACAACAATTCTGTGTTTGCGTTTAAACATTCGTATTTCACCTTGTTTTGTATATTATGACTTATGTCTTTATGTGTAAACGTAATAATATGACATTTTTAAAAGTGTGGGCGAAGCAGGATATTATTACGTCCTGGCAGGTCTCGTACAGCTTCTCGGGAACTATAACTTCTGATAGCACAAAATCACATACGCGTTCGGTGATCTGTCTAATAGAGGGAATAGAAAGTTGTATAGTAATCCTGATAAGTGGGTATTCGTACGTGTTAAGTTAGTATTGCTGATATGCCAGGTAAAAGTAGCTGCTGAGCAGATCATTAGATTAGAGTCATTTTAAAAACTCCAAATTCAGAATAATTAGCCCGATCTCGGCCACTTTTACGTGATTGGAGATGAACTGCATAGTGCATTATATTTGAGCAATCTGCATGATAAAGGTATATAATTGTAGCAGTAAGAAGGTGGGTCAGTAAGAACAGTACTCTGTGTACGTGATGGCTGATGCCTCAATTAGAGATGTTAATTATTAGTTTAATTATGAGAACAGCTGGGGTCCTTCTGGGGCCCTCAGGTGCGTTACTGCTAACTAATGAAACTCCCGATAATAATAAACCATAGTCACTGTGATGTTATATAGTGCGACTAAACCTGTTAGAAAAGTAGAATTCCTGTACATTATTGATGAGAGTTAATTAACTTTCCCATCATTTGTTACACCTAATTTCCAGCTGCCTGTGGGTGGGGCGGAACGTGACGTCATTATAACGTTATTATACAACTGAAGTTAACAATGGGCAGGTAAACCTAGTCACTTTCAGAGCTGTTCTTTGAGACAGCAGCTCAGCTTGTAATTATAGCTAGAACCTTTGGAATTTGGATCATTTCACACAAAAAGGGGGGTTAAAATTAGGGATGGGCAAATTTTCACGCGTTTTATCACATGTCCTTATGTCTCCTAACACCACTAAATATTGTTAATTTAAAGTTCTAACACTTTACCTCTTGACAGGAACATAGTACCTCTGAAGGGATGTGTGTTACTTGAGGATATTCTACTGTTGATAACTCCTTGCTACAGATACAAATCTCTCAGTAACTTCTTGGATAACAACAGTCACAATATCACGGTATGTTAAATCGTATTAATTGGTTAAATTCACAGCTCTTTTACTTGTAATTCCTGCATAATTACACATTAATTGTGATCGTATTATTGTACGTGTTGCTGATTCTAGATTGAGAGTCCGAGGCATGGAAACTTCCCAAAATAGGGTCAGCAAACCGCAATCATGCTATAAATATGAGATCATCACAGAGCTTTCAAAATAACTGACAACTCTACCGTTGATGGTACTCGCTATATTTAACCGCAACAGAGTCTTCAGAAGCTTAATTATAGCATGTACGTATTATTGCCAATGTTATGAGTACAGAAGAAATTGACTTAATGAAGTACGAGGAGTACTAATCCTCTTCTCGTCCTAAAATGGCGTTTCTCTCATTATATAATGTATGTTTAGACCATGCTTTGTACAATTTATGGCAGCTAGTCATGTCGTGTGTGTCTGCTTTAAAGTAATTGTAAATGATTTATTTTGTTCCGTCACAAAGATGCAAATTTAAAAAGTCTATTTAGTTGGTCTGTAACAAACGTGAGTCAATGAACATGCGCCGCGTGAAATATCCTAAATATCCTAAATGAGCTGCATAAGCCAATAAATATACCATTATTTAACTAAATAATAATATGTAAATGATATGTTGTATAACAGTAAGGTATACAGGGCAAGACCCTGTATGCCATTATAGCACTGACTTAAAAATGCAGACTGTTGAAACACTAACATATTCTACATGAAGCCAATTACTGTTCTACTCATACTCTTACAGCTACCCTCACACATTGGAATGTACAACTACATAACTACATAACTACATAACTACATAACTACATAACTACATAACTACATAACTACATAACTACATAACTACATAACTACATAACTACATAACATCTTAGAGGGCCTGAACTTGCACATGTAATGATTGATGTATTATCATTACATAACGAAGGCTACTTACAAACTGCCAACTTAACTCGCTTAATTCCAGCTAAATTCCCGCTAAATTACAGGAGAAACAACGTGAGAGTTACGCGGTACAGATCTGTGCGGGAATGAAGTACCTGTCACTGAACAAGTGTGTGCATAGGAACCTACGACTGGAGCACGTGTACATGACCAACTATAACGACGTGGTGATCACTAACTTTGGGCTGGCACGTGTCACTGAAGCGCTGTATTACCAGCAGAGGAGGATCATGGCTAGTGATACCTTTGTTATCTACCCTCCTGAGGTAAGAGATAGTGAGGATGTGGCAGGGTCACGTGGGTCGGTCACGTGGGTCGGTCACATTTCAGTTACTGCTGGTACTTTTCTGGATTCCCTACCTGGCGTAAATTTAAGGTTATCTAAATGCGCATAATTTGGAGAATGAATTTTAATTTAAAGTAGGGCTAATCTATTATAACCACGAGACATCTCCCTCCCGATCTGCTCGCTCAGCTTCTTGTGAAGACTAATGATTCACACAAATCTCTTGAAACATTGTAGTTATAAGTTGAGATATTATTTACCTTGATAAAAGAGAACACGGCTCTATGAGCTTAACATGAGTGTAATGAGACAATAATATATAATTTATCTACTGTTGTAACTGTTTTCAGTGCCGCTGTTCTGTGAGATATAATATATTGTGTTAAAGTGCTTAAGTAGTCTAGGTGGGCACTTAAACGTAGACTATACGTCACGCTGTTACACTGGTACACTTTGAGTACATTATCTGGTCCTGTGACTTGTAATTTATATGTTACAAGATTAGGCAAGCTGTTAGACGCTTTGGCTAAGCGATTAGATACTTTAAAATACGCTGTCTTTATAAAGACTTGATGATAATTATTGCACATTTAAGGCATCGTCCCGCGACGTTTTATATCATTAATTATAAACTATTTATAATGCATAATATTTCAAGTATTTCTCAGGACGTTCAGCTGAATATTCCCACTATTTCCCTCCAGTATTTGGCACTGATAATAACCACTGATTGTTTGTCAGGTAATTGCTGTATTGAGTGGGGGAGGCAAAGTAAAGTTCAACTCAGCGTGTGACGTGTGGAGTTACGGTGTGTTACTCTGGGAACTGTACAGCGGTAACATCGCCTACCACAATGTAGTGTCTGATCTCCATGGCAACTCAGACATCAACCTACTCGACCAGTACTTCAGGTATTTAATTGATTAATTACAGACTAATTCACACTAATTACATGTTCTTAGACTATTATATAATACACTTATTTATATTGAATTATTCTTTATCGGCAATTGTTTATTGAATAACACAATTTATGCATAATTAGATGTTAATGATTATTATTACATGATGTAAAAGTTAGTGTTAGCATGACTTTTCTCAGGGAAGGGAACTGTCTTGAGCCGGATCCCTCATGGCCTGCCAACATACTGGCTGTTATTGAGAAATGCCTCACCGATGAACAAAGACGAATCAATTTCTTCGGAATAGAGGACGTTCTTACAGGATCATGAACTTAATAACTGCAATTCAGTTACCAATTTGAGTGTGGCAATTTTGACTTAAAAATATTTGTGTGTTGCAATTGACGAATAATCAGGATGATGATCAGTAGATTATTACATGTCCCACCTCGGTAACCGTCATCTTGACAAAGATTAAATACCTCTCCGCTCTGGTAAATGACTCCGGTAAATGAGTCTGCACTTGTGTGGTTATCAGTCTGGCACTGCACTGAGTTGTTTTGTAGCTATCTCGCTCTGGGCAAGTTCTCTGGAATTAGAAATAATGATTGCGAAATGTTAAAGGACAGAACTGTGTTCTCAGCTGTATAAATGACCATGTTGCTGTTTCACTGTTTGGGAGAGCTGTAGTTATTCTGTGGAACACTGCCAGGTAATGGTTACATAATGTTTAGATTGTAGAATGTGGAGAGTGAGATCTTGATGAATTTTACCTTTTATTTTCTATATAAAGCAGTGCTCTTTATAATTTTAATGCATTTTTAAAATCTTTTTTACTAGCCATTTGAAAACGTTTGAAATTCAGAAGGAAGGAGCCTTATATTGTGATGGAGTGTTTATAGTCTCACTCTAAGGTGTGTTTAATAACACCAATAGTTCAGTAGGTAAAGTGAGATGTTATATAACAGGTCCTGCTCCATTTCAATGTTTCCGAGAAACCTGAACCAATTACGACGAATCTGCAGAGTGTGACTTATTCTCATGTGTGCTGTTATCGACGTTTTAATTTCTTAATATAATCTGAAATGTGTGTTTAACTTATTTACATGGCCTCATAGGATTTTACGGTTTACTGTAAGCAATTATTATTTGACGGGATAAGAGTAAAGTCGTCATGAGACAAAATTTCCAATCGCAATATTCTCTGCTCAGAACTACTGACGTTTTCCATAAATAAATTAAGGTCTAGAGTAGATTTAGGTCGAGTAAATTTAGGTCGAAATGCGTTGCTTTGTTAGGTCAAGTATGTGATTCGCTCCTGTATTCACCTCGGGTAGGAAGTAAAACACTTGCTAAACATTCTATAAAATACTCAATACTCAACATATTCATTTCAACTTCGAAGCTGGCCCAAAGTAAATGTCACATAATGTGTTCGTGAAAATATCAGCCTGATAAAAATAGCTGAATGTTAAACAATTTATAACTGCAGCTCCATCCTTGCCAACATAAACACTAAAAATACTCTCCAATCATGTTAGAATAAGGTTAAATATTACTGGTAGTAGCTCGATAGTAGGCAAATGGGGGGGGGGGGGGGGGGGGGGGGGGGGGGGGGGGCGTGCCACAAAAACCTAGACTACATCCTCTGACTTGTCGATCATAAGGTCTACATCTAAATTGTTATGGAAGACGCCAGAGCTTTATTGCCGAAGTGTAATGCGCGCACGTATACATATATCGTCCATAAATAATTTAATAAACAAATTACATTGATTGCGTTTTGATTAAATAATTAATAATAAAAAGTCTGCAATAACATTATATCGGTATATGGATCTCTCCTGTCAGTCGACACAAGCTATGTACATACTTAGTAATCCAACTTAAATAACTAGTACAATTTATTTTAGTGAAGCAGCTTATCAGAGCTCTAACATTAAAATAAGCAGGCAAAATTGTAAATGTTGATATAATAATAATAGAGTACCAGCATCTAAACTATGATGTGTTGCAATTGTACCTCATTTACTTGCGCAACCACTGACCTAATCTGCTGAGCGTGTAAAGGAGTGGATGCTTGAATCTTGTTCCTCGTCTCCCATTAACACGGCTCTGTTTTATTACCCAGGCTACTTGACAGGGCCGGTAGTCGGTACCACACCACTGGTTTCCAGACAGTTTTCCGCCCGGTCTAGCGCCGTCTGGTCAACAAACACGTTTCTTATAACATTTAACTTATCCAAACATTTTGGAGTGAACTTCTCGAATGCAGCATGTAAAGCACCTGTAATGACCGTGTCGTAGAGTATTGGATTAATCACAGAGTTTAAGGGGAGCACTATGATTGAGAAGATCGGATACCAGGGCGTGGCATCAACAACACTAAACAGATGAAGCCAACTGGTTACTATGAATGGCATCCAACACAAGAAGTCGCTAATGATTATGGCATGGACAACTCTCTGAAGCCTGTCGTCAGCTTGTTTTATACTAGCGTTTAGACCTTGTTTTGTTAATGCACTGATAGACTTTTTTGACGAAGCTGCAATGATTCCATAAGAAGCAGTTATCACTGCAATACAACACAAGTTTGTGCTCAAAATGATGAGTGAGAAGTTTCTTTGAGGATCATCCATTTTGACGAAATATTTGAATACGCAAACAGGATCGTTACCGTAGAAAGTAAGAGTCTCATGAGTGATCCCACCGTAGTCCGCTGAAAACATACCCTCCACCAAGTCTTGGATTAAAGACCAACTGAGATCTTCTGAAAATGTCATTCTTCCGTAGTATTCTTGAAGGATAGCCACGTGCATTTTCTTGTCCGGGCAACCCATAAACAAGGTATTGGAATCATCATACTTGATACCGTTCACGAAGAAGTCCTCTAAGGGTTTGTGAAGCGGAAGATAAGAAACTACGAATGAAAACAGAACGATAACCTGCACAATAATGATGGCTTTAAGAACTCTCTTCTTTGTTATTTCTTTCGGAACTGAGCTGCCACTTTTACAAATTCCAATAGCTCTTATGCCACTCAAAGTTGTCATTGAAAATAAAGAAACCTGCGATCCTACTGTACTTATCACACCTAAGAAAATGCAGGTACGACTTGTGATCCAGTGTAATTGTACTTTACAATGTCCAGCGCCATGGTAACTATCAAATGAAGCCAATGCTGTCAGATAAATACCGATCAGGAAATCTCCTAAGCTTATCAGAATTATCAGAGAACTAGTAAGAAATGCAGCCTCCGATTTGCTTTTGTGGAGAGTAGTCGAATTTTTAATCAAAGCTCTACAATTGAGGAAAACAGATAAGATACCAATTGTCCATGCAGAAACTTTGAGGATGCCAACGTTTAAAATGCTCTGGCCACAAGTTTTATTGCACTCATCAGACTCATCCTTACAATGGATGACTTGATCACACTTTTGGGTGATGGGGAGATACTCTCCAGATGTTTCGCACTGGAAGTGATTGTCACACAACTCCTCATCTGATCCGTCGTCGCAGTCGTCCACCAAGTTGCAGACCTTGTCAAACGTTAGACAGGTCCTGCGGTTTGCGCAGAGAAAAACATCATCTCCCATTGTTCTTGCTTTGTGGTTTTTGATGAGGAAAGTCAAGTTACCATCACTATCTACAGTGAACACTCTGTTTCTGACGAACTGTCCAGGACAAGAATCGAATTTGATCTGCCTTTTGTCTAATGGGCAGGAGCTCGAATCAATACAATGACCTAGACAGCTCAGGAGGACGTAAGACTCCCCGTAAAAATTTCTGCAATCTATTTTAGAACTTGGTAACTGTATGGCATGGGACGAGTTCTTGCCAAATACATTTCTAGTGGATGTTTTAAATTTAACTTCTTTACAGATATTTTGAGTTAGATATCTGATGTCATCGAGCCCTCTCAAGCAATACGACAATCTTACCGTTCCTATACTGTCTCGGAGAACTTTATGACTTGTGGCAGCTTGAGCTCGGGAAAGTTCGCAAAGTTTGTTCTCCTTATCGCACGAATTGATCTTGTCACAAAGTCTAGTGAAGTCGATGAACTGGTCGCTTCCGTAGCAAAGGAATACTTCTGAACACGAATCATTCCACTTAACTCTAAAGCGAGTGTTTGATCCAAATCCACATGTTGGCCAGGACTCCATTTCGTCTTCACCATCCCAACAATCGTAAATACCATCTTTTACCCACGTTAATGGGAAGGTTATATTTTGACGAGATTTATCGAACACATACCTCCGTACACATTTAGTATCAACCATATCCCCACATATTTCCTGTGTTTCATCGCTTCTATCCTCACAATCCACCTGTCCATCACAGAGCTGCTGCTTGTGTACCAAACATGATAAACTCGCATTGACACACGCTTTGTCCAAACCGTCATCACAAATTTGAGGAATGTTTGGGAAAAATTCTGAAAAATGGTACTTAGTGTCCATGCAGACAATCTGATTAGCAACAGTTGACATGTGGCCGCGAACTGAACAGTGTAAACCTACTCTAGAGTAATCAGAACAGTTGGTCTGGTCAAGAAAGTCGTCACAGAACCTAAGAATGGTTTTATCAAACGAGAATGATACCTGGGAGTACCCTACCCTTGGTCCACAGCGGGTGTAGTTAAAAAGAGGAATTATGTTGCCCGAGTAGTGTTTGCAGGTGGAGATGGTTCCGTTCCTCACCTCACAGTCTTGTTCATCCTCACCGTTTACACAGGTCCTCTCGTCATCGCATACTTTATAGGGTGGTGTATTTATGATGAGGTCGTTGTAGTGATTTTGGTTGCACTCCATGCCATATCGGAACCCGTTGCAGAAGCTTTCATCTTCACAGGTGAAGGTATCTTGACATATCAGATCACATTCCTTTGTTTCGCAAATCTCTTCGGTTAACTCAGTGTTCACACAGTCATCTCTTCCATCACATAAAACTCCCATTTGTTTAATCAGTGGTGTTTTGGGATCTATGATGTTGATAATGGTATTCCTTTTTTGACACAAGACTCCACAGGGGTGTTCACCTGAGATATGGGCAATAGCGCAATATTGAGGAAAGGGATGACAGAATGTTCTATGTCATGTGCAATTTGCGATGAAGTAAATAATGTAGGCGACAGAATATTAATACTAGAAACAACCAAATTCATCACAGCAAACATAATTCTCGAATGGATCGCATTTTCTTTATTTTGTGTTAGGGATCATTCACATATTACGCTATCACTGAGGGGGAGGGGCTTCTAAATGATTTAGCTAGTGTAATTTTAACACAATAGCTGTCTAGTGTCTACAGGGTCGGAGGGAGGGGTGGGGTGTTTATTAAAAAACAAGTACGCCGTTTGCGAACGACCCCTTATTATACAAAAGGAGAAACTGCAATCTAAGTTAACTCATCCTATAAATTGCTCACCTGATATGACTGCGAAATTGGAGTGACTGTAGAATGACTGCGCTCGCAGCACTTGCCTCGTAGCACATGCTTGGTAAAAGTTGCGGTCGTTTTCACATAGCTCGTCTACAGATGACAATCCTGTCCTGTGGTTTTAATTAAATAATGGTATTCGCGTTCGATCTGCTTTATTCCAATTTATATTTTGATTTGTCACCTTTTCTCTTCACTCTTGTTCATGATACATCGATATTTTGACTTAGAGTTAGATACAGAACACTAATTTAAAAACTAGTTTCAGAAATGAAATGTTTTTCACCGTTTTTTAGATACATAAAAAGTAAATCGTGGCCGGACTTTTGGACAACCAGATTTTAAAATTACCTGCCATTGCCAAAATTAATCCAGCCGACCTTGTAAAACTGATTCGAATTGATGCACTTGAAAGTGAATCTACTGTTCTGTTGCCCTTTACTGTTATCTCGAGAAATACACACGTTTTGTAAAAAACCCTCCACATCCCTTATCTCACATTCACCTGCAAATTAATAAGAAGTTCGTAAGAGTCGCGACCTCAATACTTAAAGTGAAGATTAGTCCAATTAGAATTGAACAATAAATTTCTGCACTAGAGAAGATCAAAGTCTCAACATCAACAAAAAAAGTATTCGAGCAGC